AATAAAATTCGCTACTAAATCTATAAATTAATATATAATAATTAGGAAATAAATGACTGCGGATTTACTAGCGGTAAAAATGTCGACTTAGTTTAGTGGTAGAATAGGTAACTTGTAATTACTTGACACTAGTTCGATTCTAGTAGTCGGCAAAAATACTGTAAATAATAGAAAATACTATACAGCCCAATAAAATAGGATATTTGCGCTTGCGCTGCGCTTGCGCGCGGGCGGTATTTGAATATATATATAATCTTATTATATTCAAATAATTCAACTTGTGTCTGGAAAAGTTATTTGTTAGTTCATATTATAAATAAATAAGCTATATACATTAATAGAAATAATAATAAAATAGTTGTAGTAGTATCAGTATAAAACGTATTAAAGGTGCTATAGAAAACGATTAATTATAGTGATTATCTATTTATAGGCGCGGTAGAAAATAAAAATAAAAATAAAAATAAAAATAAAAATAAAAATAAAAACAAAAACAAAAATTTTGTTGTTTTCTTGCGCATACTTTTTAATAAAATCTTCGCCTACGGCTGCATACGGCTGCCTACGGCTGCCTACGGCTTTGTTCTTTTTTCTCCCGAAAAAAAGTAGCCCTAAAAGTATTCTATTTTTATAAGCCCACTATAATTATCAAGTTATTTTTTATAAATAGGGAATGTAGGATGTCATCTAAAGGAAATACATCATTGCCCTGATAAAATATTAGATTTTATCCCCGGTTTATAAAATTCTTCGATTTTAGTAGGTAATGAGAATGGTTGAAAAAAAACAAAAATAGTTACACTAGTAAATACTATATTAGTATGAAAATAAGAATACTAGTAAAGTAGGATGTCGTCTAAAGGAAAGACTTCCTCTTTTGGTGGGGAAAATAGTTGTTCGATTCAACTCATCCTAGAAAATATATGAAGATAGTAGGGCTCGAACCTACGACGTCGATATTAAAAGTATCGCACTCTAACCAACTGAGTTATACCTTCTTTATATAGGTTACTTATGGACAAACCGCTATTGGCGAGGTGTAGGCGATTGCTAATTGTCTGGAATATAAAAAACTTCCTTAGGAGTTCGAATCTCCTTTTGTCCGTGTAATTATATACCTATATATAGGTATACCAAAATTAAGTAAATACGGGATACTTTTTTGACAAGAGCATTTAAAGTACTAATGCCAATGGAGCTGATTGTAAATAGTATGACATTCTGTAACGATTCTTGTAATTTTGTCGGAGATATTTCGAAAGATATTTTTGCAATTTTTCTAAAAAAGAATATACACAAGCAGTACTAATATGTTAAGTACTTATGTTTGTATTTATTTTTTACAACATTTCTATTGGAGCAAAACATTGTTACAGTATAGGTGGAATTACAGGAACTATAAACAAAATTACTTATGCTATGCTTAAACTAATTATGTCGCCTATTCCTATTTTTTTTTTGTTTGTTTTTTTTTTAATTCTATATGTAATTTGGATGCTACTTAATCTCATCTTTATTGCTGAAGCTGTATATCGTGCAGAGGAAACAATAAAAAATATGTAAATTAGTTCTAGTTCAACAGGAATAAAAGTACCTAACGAAAAGTTTTTTTTGTTTTTGTTTTTTTATGAGAAAATTTATGAGATGACTAAAGAACTGGCACCACAATCAAATCAGGATACAACAGGTGCTGCGATTGCAGAGGTGTCAAGTGCTTTTACTAAATATACAGTTTATAATGTACCTGTAGATTATCTAATACCATCTACGATACCATTTCTTATTAATAAGCTATGGTCTTCCTCTTCACCACGAGGACTAGGATATAAATTTTAGGGTACTGCACTAGGTTATACAGCACTATTTTGATGGTCAGCGGTTTCTTAACCGAAGTGTGATTCTTTAGGGATACGGCTCGCTATATTAATAACAAATTTATACTACAGAGCCATATATATATACTAACAGTGCTAACAAGCTGATTACACCTAAGCCAGATATCAATACAGATAATAATACTGATAACAGTAACAATAGTAATACCAGTTACAGTATCCACTCTCCTCTAGAAGATTCAACTAGTTTTCTAGATTCTATTTATTCGTTTCTGCTAAATTGGATGGAATCGAATGACAGTAATCGACTACCATCTAATAGAGATGTAGATGTACTTGATTTCTTTTGCGCTTGCGCGCGGCTTTCTTTTTTACGATTCTAAATTTTGTAGTTTATATTATAGCAACAGCAGGATTATATTTTCTAATTTGTAGTTTTATGCTATATTCTTAAAATTATTTTAGTAAAATTAGTACATCATCGGTAAGTGAACTAAAAGAGAGTGAAGCTAATTAATCAGAATATAGTTAATGGCTAATGCTAAATCTTATTTCAATTAACAAAGTAGTTCTTATTTTTCTGTTTATTGTTCTCCTAGTATCTAGTCTATGTCTTTACATTTATTACCCTATTTTTTCTGATATTGCTAACGAGTTTAATAATGCACTAAAAGCGCTATACAATCTTTTCTACAGATGCTTGTGTTCGATATGTTATTGTTAATAATCCTGTACAAATTTACCAAAAAGGGATTTAAAATCGTACTACTATGTTTTATTGGTATTTATCGAGTATATTTTACTTATCCGCCCACTAAAATAGAATACGCGCACGTCCGCTATTGGACTATTTGTGAAAAAGTCAAGTGGTTTTATTATAAACCTAGTCCTAATCGGTGATCTTTCTACAGGAATTATTATAAATATTGAAATGTTTAACGCATATAATACTGTTGTTAAACTAGTATTTTATTCTCTACTTATTCTAGTAATTTCATTTGCAATTCAATCTATTCTTAGTTATTTTACTAAAGGACAGTTTATCTTCAGTAAACAGGTCGGTATTTGTATTTGTATTTGTATTTGTATTTGTATTTGTATTTGTATTTGTATTTGTATTTGTATTTGTATTTGTACATAAAATACCACAAATTATATTGATAAACAAAAATATCAACAATGATAATAGCTATAAATTTATGTACTATAATATTTTTTTAATAATAATTAAAATCATTTCATCAATGGCGGTGTATTTTAAGGTATTCTATTCCTTTTTACACACTATATACCAGGAGATGAATACTATCTTTGTTCCTTAATTATTTATCAAACTTTAATTTACCCCCTTAAGAAATAAAATAGAATATTTTAATTGGCGCCTACTTTTTTTAAGAAGGGGAAAAAAGAAAAGGATTTCAAACATCTTTTCCGGAGCTTATCTTATAAAATTTCACATACAATTCTAATTATCCTATTCATAATTTGTACCATGTATTAGGAATTTTAAAAGAATTTACCGTTCATATAATTACTAGTTTTATTACTAGATATATGTATTTCTCTTCTCATTTTTTATAATAGCGAGTTATAAAGGGATACAAGATATTTTCATATTGAATAGAAGGCATAGTATAGTTATTTAGTGTACTACCTTTGCACTACTTTTTAATTTAGTAGTAAAAAAAGAGTTCTTTTTTATATAAGTTCGAGTGAATATTCTATTTTTGTGTTTACTATTACTATAAAAAATAGACTATTTTATTGACACATTATAGTTTCTTTATATTATTCTATTTTATTTACTATATAGGTATAGTCTTATGAAATTTGGGGAGATATTACAATTGGTTAGTATACTTCCTTTGCAAGGATGCTGATGCAGGTTCGAGTCCTGTTCTCTCCAAAAATATCTATTATTAAAAGTACTAAAAAATGCGTAGCATTTTTAACCCTTTTTCTGGTTCATATAAATTACAATATTCTATAAGTACGGTCCTTATATAATTTACTTGTATATTACAATAATATACTAATATATAAAATATATAAGCCTCAATAGCTTAGATGGTAGAGCATAGAACTGAAGCTTCTAACGGATTGGTTCGATTCCAGTTTGAGGCATAAAAAGTATAGAGTTGAGTAGTAATTAATAAAAAGTTTAGTTAAATTAAATTCTAGTTAAAAATAATGAATATATTAATATATATACTGGTAATAAAAATCGAATATTTTAATAGAGCAAAATGTTTTTATATAATAAAACATAAACATTTTAGATAGTCCTCGATAAACGAAGTGGAACACTCCTTTCTCTTTCTTGTTATTTCATTTTAGTATATTTGCATGTTAATCATATTAAAAAAAGAGTATTAATATATTTAATATAACGACCAACAATGTAACCAGATTGTTTATATATATAGGTATATGAATAAGTAATAGGGGCCCACCCCAAAAAAGTAAAGTTTCGTTTTTTTTCTATCTTTATAACCCCATTATGTTAAATAATGCAGATATGCTCTATTGGTTGGGGCGGTGCTCTGTAAAAGCATTGGCTGTATGCCGTGGTGAGTTCGAATCTCACATCTGCAAAAAGAAAAAGTTTATTTTCTAATAGATAGCTGTGTTTACACTACGTTAAATAGATATTTATTTAACTTTTATGCCGTGCCTATAAAATAGAATCTATCTTTTTTTTTATAAATAGGATATCTAATAGAGGTAAAATAGAATATTTTCTTTCTTTTTTCTAGAATTTTCTCGTAGGAAAAAAGAAGAAAAAAGGAATGCGCTAATAAAAAGAAATAAATTTTTATGTGGTGGCGCTGCGCTGGCGCGACAAGATAATATACTATAAAATCTAAAATGTAGGACTCTCTTCTTATATGCTGCTAAGAAAATATCGTAGATATTTTATGCCGGATATTTAAGTAGCCATGTGTTTTGTGTTTAGTGTTTTCATGGTTAATTATGAATATCTATTATAATTAGTTGTCAAATTAAACTTATTTATAATAAAACGCCCGAAGGATGTTTATTGTATGCAGATATAAAATAACAGTATTAAATCTCTTCTTTTTTTTTTCTCCGTAAAAAATAGCCGCTAACAAAAAAGAAGGCGTAGGCGAAGATTTTAGTCAAAATAAAATGGATTTGTGTGTACGGACGCGGGGAGATTCGAACTCCCGGTTCTCGGTAAGAACTCCTAGACTCAAGCCAGGTACATTAAACCACTCTGTCACACGTCCTTTCAATTAATTTTTCGCTTGCGCGCGGATTTATTTCATATATAGAATAAACATTTTCGTAGCGTTTACTTTTTATGCTGGCGTTAATAAAAAATAGACTGAAAGAAACTATTTTTGTTATTTCACTATGATATATAAATATATCTCCTATATATATAATTATTTATATAGGAATCGGTAAGCGTAATTTTAAAAAGAAAACATACCGGTCTTTTTTTGTGTTTTCGTATTCTAATTTTCTTGCCTTATTAAGTAATCAAAATTTTATTATCTAGGAATATAATAAATAAATACCAGCTATTATATAGTAAAATTAACGGAGAAGACATCTATAAATTTTCATTTTATGCTAACTTATTTAGGGATCGGACCTATGCATTAATTTGTATTAAAAGATCTACTATAATTAATTTCATTTTATATATATAAATATTTATATATATAATTAGTATTGTAATAGTACCGGTCCTTTAAAATGCGTTCGAAAAAGAAAAAGTTTCTTTTATATCTGAAGAAAGTAGGTGTGCTGCAGTTATAAAAATCTGATATTATAGTAGTGTCCTCTATTTGTATATATACTCTTACTAATCTTACTAGATTTTGAATAATACAAATACTATGGCCTATTCAATTTCAATTAAACAAGCGTCAACAGATAAAATTTATAAGGTATGCGAAAAATGTAAATACAATTTTATAACGATGTAATATTGTAATTATTAAATTGTTTGAAGTAAACATTTAATATATACATAAGAAATTTTCATTGAATTACTAACTTTAGTACGTTGCGTCTATAAATATAATATGTATAGTCTATATATATTATATAGTAATTTAAAGGTATATTATTGATATATGAAAAAGAATTCTTTTAATATAGATATATAACCTATATAGATTTATATATGTAGAAAATATATCGCACAATAAAAATCTATGATTTTTATAGGGCGTATTACTTATAATCCTATTTAATCGGCCGGGCCTATAAAATAGGTAATGAGAGCATTAACGCTGTAATCAAAAAGGAATATAAAGATTATAAATAATATGACCGCGCGCAAGCGCAAAATTAACATCCTTTTATAATATATACAAATTAACAATGAACACACAAAACACAACACTATCACGAACACAATTTCAATTTCAGCCATTCCATCTAGTTACACCTAGTCCATGGCCACTACTAACATCATTTGGACTTCTAATTCCAACTTCAGCAGCAGTAATGTACTTTAACGGTTACGCTAACCCTCTTGGAGGTTCAGGAGCTCTACTAGTTGGAATCGGGCTAGCAACAACAGTTGCAGCTATGACTCTATGGTTCCGAGATGTAGTAGCAGAAGGAACATTCCTTGGAGATCATACAATCCTAGTACAAAAAGGAATTACTATGGGTGTTGCTCTATTTATTATCTCAGAGGTATTCTTCTTTATCTCAGTGTTCTGGGCATTCTTCCACTCAAGTCTATCACCAACAGTAGAACTAGGAGCTCAATGGCCACCAGTTGGTATCGCTACAATTAATGCATTCGAGCTACCACTACTAAATACTATTCTACTACTATCATCAGGAGCTACTGTTACATATGCACACCACTCTGTAATTGAAGGTAACCGACGAGGTGCTATCCTAGGAACACTAATGACACTAATCTTTGCTGTTCTATTTACAATCTGTCAAGGTATCGAGTATGTAAATGCTGGATTTACAATTGCTGATGGTGTATTTGGATCAACATTCTTCTTTTCAACTGGATTCCATGGTGTACATGTAATTATTGGTACTGCCTTTATCGCAGTAG